GGGCTCTCTGTGATATTTGTATGTGTTTGTGTGGGGGGGGCGGGCCTGAGCGGGCTCTGATATTTGTATGTGTTTGGGCGGGGGGGCCGGGCCTGAGCGGGCTCTCTGTGATATTTGTATGTGTTTATGTGCGGATATAAGTGTGTATGGGGGGGGCCGGGCCTGAGTGGGCTCTCTCTGCAGAGATGCACCGGACACAGACCCAGTTTGAGGACGCCTTCACCCTCAAAGTGTTCGTCTTCCAGTTCGCCAACTTCTACTCCTCGCCCATCTACATTGCCTTCTTCAAGGGCAGGTCTGCAGCACCCCCCTCCCCCTGGACTCCGGAGATGCGGGCGCAGGCAGAACACGAGGCTGGGCTGGGGAGGGGCTGTCCTGGGGGAGCAGGGCCCGGCTTTGGTCTGCTTCCCAGCCCAGCCTCCAGACGGAGCGTGTGGTTCCCACCTGCCAGTGGCCACGGGTCCAGAGACGGGGAGGGGTGGAGGGCTGTGGAAAGGGGACCCACTACAGTCCTGCCATCTCATGCCCGCAAGACCAAGGTTTCCCTGCAGGTTTATAGGTTACCCAGGCAACTACCGCACCCTATTCGGGGTCCGCACTGAGGAGGTGAGTGTGCCTAGGAGGGGCCCCACACCCACATAGTCCGTGGGGGATCCTTCTACTCCCCCTGACCCAGGGCCAGATGCTGGCCTCCCACTGCCCACTGGGGCCTCAGTCATATCACCCCTCTGCTCCCAGACCCCACAGAACAGCTGCCAACACCTTCCCTGGGTTAATGGGGACCACTGTGTGAGTCCATGCTGTCGTGACAAACCGTAAACCACTGTGGCAGTGGGACAGCAGGAGCTCTGAGGCTGGTGTCTCTCTGAGGGCTTGGTTCCCGCCCCCATCACCCGGGGGAGCTTGTGTTTTCAGGAGGTTTGGGAGAGGAGAAAGCAGCTGTCCCAATAGGGCACTACCCGGAGAAAGACTCAGGAGAGATGGACGTGCAAGGAAGCAGGGAGTGGGCAGCAGACATGGGGGACCTCAGAGAGGGGTCAGCCTGCGGGCCCCGGGCTCCAGCCTGTGGGCAGCCTGAGACAAGGTAGCACACACCTCACCCAGGCAGAGGGCCTGAAGCAAGTGTGTCCTGAGCCATGTGCAGGGGCCTGTGTGCTGGGCCAAGGACACGTGGGCCCCAGCATCACCTACAGTACCATGGTCCCCTTTCTGATGAGGAGTTGGGAGAGCAGAGACCACCCACAGGGTCCGGCCATGACCCCACCTGATGAGGGAGGCATTCCCAGGGCCACAGAGCCAAGGCTGGGTGCCCTGGGTCTCACGCTCATGGCTGTGACTGCAGGGTTGAGCTGTACTGGGCGGCTTTCAGATACAAGGGAAAAGTTCCAACTGCACCTGGATTATGCACAAAGGGGAACCTTATTGGCTCAGGAGCTGAAAGAGTTCAGGGGGCTCAGGTGTGGCTGGATCTAGGTGTCTGAACAACGTTGCACCCCCTGCCCCGTCTCTGGCCTCATCCCCTCTGACACCTCAGCGCTGGCCCACACCTTCTAGGTCAGCACACTAGCTAGGAGCCCCGGACCACTTCACTGGCTGGGGTCGGGCCTAGGCTTCCCGGAGCCAGCGACCGTCAAGGTCCCCAAGGACATGTGGTCCTGTGTCCACTCGGTCGGTTCACATAGATCGAGGGAGGGCCTCAGAAACCCTCAAGGGGCCCTGCTGAAGGACGTGGAGGTGGGTGGCTGTGAGGGTCAGGCCCCCGCAGCTGACCGGAAGCCCTGCTGCTGCAGTGTGCAGCTGGGGGCTGCCTCATCGAGCTGGCCCAGGAGCTCCTGGTCATCATGGTGGGCAAGCAACTCATCAACAACGTGCAGGAACTCCTCGTCCCGTGAGTGCCACCTGGGCGGGGGGGGGGGGGGTCCAGGGACCTGGGGACACCAGGCGCCCACTGGGGAAGGTGGAAGAGAGCCCTTAGAGCCATCCACAGGATGGCAGGGGTGGGGGTCTGCCAGCCGTTCCTGCTCGGGCTCTGTGACACTCTCACCCGTGCTGTGGGACTTGGCTAGGCTCCTGCAAGGGAGGTGGGCACTGCCCTGGGTCCGCACTGGCTGGGGGCACCGAGGCCCTGAGCACACACCTGGGAGCTGGTCCTCCCTCCCCTCCCCTGCCGGCCCCCAGCCTCAAGGCCCCACTGGAGGGAGGAGAAGGGGGCAGCCCAGATCCAGAGGGCATGGGGTTGGACAGTACCATCAAGGAAGCCCACCCATGCGTGTGCCCCATGTCTGCCCCAACCTTGATAGAGCCCTCACCCCTCTTTGTTGTCCCCTCAAGGAATGTAGAGAGGGAGCATTGCTGGTGTCGGAGGGCACTGCAGGGTGGGAAGGTGCCCCCACGGCCCCTCAGGGTCTGTCCTGCCAACCTTTCGCCCCTCCCAACCCCTCCTGAGTCCAGACCCTCCCTCTGCTGCCCTTGACTGTCTCCTGAACTCTCTGGAGTGGCCGTGAGGACCCCCTGGAAGAGCAGGGGGCAGCCTCCTGTCCTGTCCACCCCCCCAGGAAGCTCCAAAGCTGGTGGCAGAGGTTCCGGCGCTCGTCCAAGAGAAGGAAGGCAGGCTCCTTGGCAGAGGTGGCCCAGGCCCCCTGGGAGGCCGACTATGCACTCCTGCCCTGCCAAGGCCTGTTTGATGAGTACCTGGAGATTGGTAGGAGTCCTGTCAGCAGCCATGACTGGCCTAGTGGGCGGGGAGGGGGCCATGTCAGCCTGTCCTCCAATGCCTTCAGCCTCAGGCCTTGGGTGGAGTGGGGACAGGGGTTCAGCTGGAGCCAGGCCTGCTCAGAATGGGGAAGGAAGGCTGGATCAGGTGGGATCGGGGGCCAGCGCCGTGGACACAGAGGTGCTAAGAAGTACCAGGGCGGGGGGCAGCTGCCAGGGCTCTCCTGCAGCGGCTGCAATAGCCCTGTGCCCCAGAAAGCAGGACCGGGACCCGTGTGGCAAGGGAGGAGAGAAAGAAGCAGGGTATATGGGGGAGCACCTCGCCACGGCAAGGCTGTGGCAAGGCTGCGGCCAGGCTGATTTTCTCCAGAGAAGGCCCTCGTGCTCACAGCCTTTACTGGGTGGATACTTGTCACCTTGCTTTGCATGGAGCTTTGCCTCATGTGGGCGCCTGTCTCTGCAGCCCAGGGGCTTGCCCTGAGGTATTAGGGAGAAAGAATCATGGCCCAGAAGAAATCTAAGGGTGCTAGCAGCTCCCCAAGCCAAGGCCAAAGGGGGCAACAGGGGTGGCCTCCTACGGGGAATCGGAGAGCAGTGCTTTTTCACACTGACCTGTGAGCAGGCTGGTCTCAGTGGGTCCTTATGCTCCAGGACCAAGAAGGATGAGGTGTGCTGCTGCCATTAGTCATCCTGCCTGGGACATAGACACCCTGCATCCTCATGCCCCCATGAGGAGCCAACGGGAAGCAGGTTCTGGCCCCACTGGGCAGGGCCCAGCACTGGGATTGAGTCAAGGCCTCTGGCCCTGTCGGGGTCATGGGGCCTGAGGGACCCTGGCAGCCGGAACTGTGGTGCGGGCGGGCGGTGCAGCAGTAGGCCCAGCTGTGGCTGAGCACAGAAGAGGCAGCAGGCCAGCAGGAAGGCTTCCTGGAGGAGGCGGCCCAGGAGCTGAGCCCCAGAGTATGAGTGTGAGCAGCGGGAGGGGCACAGGGAAGCAGGGCTGCCAGAAGCCAGTGCCACTGCGCTTGGGAGCCGCAGAAGCCCGGCAGATGGACCAGGGATTGCGGCCCTGGGGAGGGCAGAGGGGCCAGGCGCGCCGGGGGTCGCCACGGCCCGGTGACCGCGCCCCCCGCCCCCGCAGTCCTGCAATTCGGCTTCATGACCATGTTCGTGGCCGCCTGCCCACTGGCACCGCTCTTCGCGCTGCTCAACAACTGGGTGGAGATCCGCCTGGACGCGCGCAAGTTCGTGTGCGAGCGCCGGCGCCCGGTGGCCGAGCGCGCCCAGGACATGGGCGTCTGGTTCCACATTCTGTCGGCTGTCGCGCACCTGGCGGTCATCAGTAACGTGAGGCCCCGCGGGGCGGGCGGCAGAGCAGCCGCGGGCCCGGGGAGATGGGGTCCACGCGTCCCCGGGGTGGCGGAGGAGGGAGCGGAGAAGCGAGGGGTGCAGGGACGCGGGAGCCAGGGACAGGGCAGGAGGGGGCCCGGACGCAGGGGCGCGGTGAGGGGACGCATCGGAAGGCCCCGACGCCTGACTGCCCTCCCAGGCCTTCCTGCTGGCCTTCGCATCTGACTTCCTGCCACGCACCTACTACCGGTGGAACGGCTCCAGCGACCTGCGTGGCTTTGTGAACTTCACCCTGGCCCAGGCCCCACCGGCCTTCACTGCCGAGTTCAACCACACGTGCAGGTGAGGCTCTGCGCCCGGGCACCCTCCGTGGGCTCAGGGAACAGAACTGGGGGGAGCCAGGGCAGTGGCCAGTGGGTGGAGAACAGACAGGCTCCCAGGAGGCAGTGGCCCTAGGAGACAGAAAGGTGAGGACCTCGGTGGCCCACATATCCTGCCAGTCACGCAAATGCTATCAAACACAACCGTGAAACCAGCCCTCTTCTGACGAGCCCTTCTGAAGACACCAGCCAGGTCACTGAGCAGAGGGCATGTGTGTGAGTCTCATTCCTTTCGCGGGTGCAGGCTTATTTCTGTTTTCTGTTTCTTCTATAGAATGTTTTAGGTATTATCCACATTTTATTTTTTTATGTCAATCTTCACTGTGATTTGGGTGAAAGTTTGCAGAGCAAATTCATTTTTCGTATAGCAGCTCAGGCACATTTTGTTTCATGGCATTGACTTCAGTTCCCCACAATGTAACAGTTCTCTTCCCACTTCCTGGGTAGTTACCTCTTCCCTGGGTCCTGCTCTCCCATGCACTCCCCCGCCACCCCTAGTTATCTCCCTGTGCAAACACTGCCCTTCAGTTCTCCCGGGATTGATTGACACTGGAAGGATTTTATCTATGTGATGTAAGTGTTCATCCCCCATGCCCGTTTCTTGTTTGGCTGGAAACCACAGGAGTGCATTCAGTTCCAGACCTGAAGGGTAACTGTCATAGGCCAAGTTCCGGAATAATGACTGGAAAGTCAGCTGCAGTCCAGAGAGAAATTTAACAAGAGGACAGTGACCTTGCAAGGTGGGGACACAGTGGCCAGAGGCAACGCCATATGTGTCTCCCGGAACCTTACAGGCTAGGGGTTTTTATAGTAGTTTTTAAGGCTTCAGGGTACGTGATTTCAAAAGACCTTCTGCAGGTAGGCATTCATAAAATCCTGACCCTTTTGCAAAAGGCCGTGATAAATCCCTAAGATAGATCTGAACTTCCTTCAGGCTACGTGCATGTGTAACCTCTTTCTAAGACGGAGTCTGTGTGCTCCCAACGCGGACGCCACGACGACTGCTGTGTGCGTGCATTCTGCTGTGTGCTCTTGATTCGAGTCTTGGTCTCGTCTTAGATCAGCCATCTTAGCTCATCAGGCAGTAAAGGAGGGCAGGGGTGCGCAGGTTCCAACACTGGTTAACACTGATCACGGGTAGTGGGCTGGAAGACGTCTCCAGTGGCCTGTTATCAGGAGATGCCATCTAACCAGTACATTTCCATTTGTCTTATTTCCCTTACAGTGTCTCTTCCTTGTCCTCGGGATCTGAGGAATGTGGTTGCCCTGTCCTGTGAGCTGTTCCTGTCTTGGTTTTATGATCTTGGGAATGCGGTTGCAGGGGCAGTATCAGGCCACGTTTAAATGGAACAAGATTAATAGGGACCGCAGGCTATTAAGTTAGAACACATATTCATGTCCCAGACATCGCAGTCTGTGTGCACAGTAACTATGGGCAGTAGCGTCAGGGCTCTCACCAGGCTCCTCGGACCAGCAGAACTCGTCTTTTCTCTTTATTGGTATCATCCACATTTTAGCCGCACTGTCTTCTGCTCCTGAGCATGGGATGCCCTTCCACCCATTTGGTCTTTTGAACCCTTGGTCAAGTGTATTCCTTTAGATGTGATGACAGGAGGGGGTTCCCTTAATGACCTTCTCCAAAACCAAAAACCAAATGCAGTGCCGTCGAGTCGGACCCAACTCATAGTGACCCCTCCTTGGGTTTCCGAGGCGGTATCGCTACAGAAGTAGATTGCCCCATCTTCCTTCCGAGGAGCAGCTCGTGGGTTTGAACTGCAGCCTTCTGCTTAGCAGTCAGGTGCCTTAGGCACTGTGCCACCAGAGCTCCCAATGACCTTCTCAGGCTGCTTGATTTTTGTATGCTGATCTTGCGTCCTGACACCTTGTGGAACAGAGAGCTCTAGTACCTTGCAGTCCTTGGCGGTCTTCTATAACAGGATCCTGTCACCTGGATCTACTTCTTCCTGACTTGACTGCCTCTCCCTTCTTTTCCTTGCTCTACTGCTCCAGCTAGAACTTCAGTGCAGAGCTGACCATCACCGGTGAGAGCAGACACTGGTTTTGCTCTGATGTTGAAGGCCCCAGGCTTTCTCCATGGAGACAGTGTTAGCTGTGGGTTTGTCACAAATGTCCTTAATCAAGTTGAGGGGCTTCTCTTCTATTGCTAGCTGGTTGAGTGTTTTTATCATGCAAGGGTGTTGGATTTTGTCAAACACCGTTGCCCATCAGTTGTGACAACCCTGTGGTCCGTTTGTTCCATTAGCACGCAGTGCTACGCTCATGGCTTTTCTGAGGTTGAACCACTTTTGCATTCCTGAGATCAGTCCCACTTGATTATGGTGTATCATCCTTCAAGTAAGCTTTTGGATTTGCTCTGCTAGTTTCTTGTTGAGGAATTTTCCATCTGTATTCATAAGAGATCCTGTTGTTGTTCTTAGTGTTTTGCTCTCTTGCACACAGGGTCAGCTCCTACTCATAGTGACCCCATGTACAACAGAGTGAAACAATGCCCAGTCGTGAGGCAGCCTCACAGTCCTTGCTGTACATGAGCCCATTGTTGCAGCCACTGTGTTGATCCATCTCGTTGACGTGTTACCCTTTTTTGCTGACCCTCCACTTTACCCAGCATGATATCCTTCTCCAGGGACTGGTCCTTTCTGACCACATGACCGAAGTAGGTGAGATGAAGTCTGGCCATTCTCGCTTCCAAGGAGCATTCCTGGTGCACTTCTTCCAGGGCAGATTTGTTCATTTTTCTGGCAGTCTGTGGTACTTTCAGTATTCTTTGCAATATAACTCAAAGGCATCAACTCTTCTTCGATCTTTCTTATTCATGCATATACTTCCACATGCATGTGAGGTGATTGAAAATACCATGGCTTTGGTCAGGGCTGAGGGATATTGGTCTGTAGTCTCCTTTTCTTTGATGTCTGTCTGTTTTAGGTTTCAGAGTACTGCTAGCCTCATAGAATGAGTTAGGAAGTGTTTTCTACTTTTTTGAAAACTTGAAGCAGGATTGGAGTTACTTTATCTGTAAATGTTTATTAGCTTCTGATCTTTTATTACCTCTCACAGTTTTGGCAGGTGTTTGCTCCAGTGTTTTGTTAAGCCACTGCTCTGGGATGGTGTTCTGGTCACCTAGTGCCACTCTGACAGGAATATACTACAAACGGGATGGCTTTAACAAACAGGAGTTTATTCTTACAATTTGGAGGCTTTAAGTCCAAGTTCAAAGTGCCAGGCTCTAGGGGCTAGGTGAAAGCCCCTCAACCTTGGGGTCCAGCTCTGCCTCCTGCTCCCGGCCCACTGGAGCTAGAGGCTTTTCTTCATTCAGACAGCTGCTGGCTACTGAGGCTGAGAAGCCCCAAGGTTGACAAGTAAAAAGGCACAGTCCCAATGTTAACCAAACCACATGGCAGGCCATTAACTTAAATCCATTGTAAGTCCTAAGGTCGGCAGAGCATAGCAGGCTGCTGGGCAACAACACAGCTACATGCAGGGTCCAAGCGTGCCATAGGCTAGAGACCATTCCCAAAGCTGCTGCTTACATACGGGATGCAGACCACATTCCCAAAGGCTGTGGTAGATCCCACCATGGAGTTGATTGCCAGTGTCATCATGGGGAATGACTACCACCAGCTGCCCAGCCACTCAACCAGGCCCAGCCAAGTTGACACACAAACATAACTACCACAGATGGTAAGGGATATGATGTGGCCATTGGATATGGTGTCTCTGGCCCATTGTTGTGTAGCATGTACTGTAAAATGGGTCCCTTGATCAGAGGCTATAATTAGGTAGGCAGTCCAAACTGTTTTCTCCTTTAGTTGTATTGTTAGCATTGGCTTCTGTGATGGGATATGCACAGGCAAGTCCCAAACATACTAATACAAGCGGCCTATGCCAGCTCTGCGCTAGTGCCACCCAGCAGGAGTATGTCCCGTTGCATTTTGTAATTGTTATCTCCTGCTGACAAGTGGACATTGCCCCCTGTTGTGCTAACAGTATATGGCCTTGTTCAGCCCATTGCTGTATGGCCTGCGTCCCACCACCACCACTCATTTCATGTTTGAAGTGGATCCAGCCCCTCTAATCCCTGGAGGAGGGTCGTTTAATGTACGTGTCCTACTTGAATTTGAACTCTAATTTCCGTAGGGATGACATGGGGCAGGACTCAGTTGTTGGTATCCCAGTTTGGTAGCCAAATAGCCAGGCCATTGGGCACTGCCCATGAACTAGTGTAAACTCAAACCACGAGCCTTTGGGTGGTCTGGTAACGGCACAGCTTGAAGTTCAGCCCTTGGAGCCCATGTGCTCTTCACTGCTTCCATGAGGACCTGGTCATCATTCACCACAGAGCTGCCACCCTCTGGGTAAAAGCTGTGCTCTGCACCCCTGAACTGCTGTCAGTAAACCAGGCAGACTGCTTCGCTCTGGAAGGCAGTGACTCACATGGAGGCACAGAACCGCTGTGTCCAACAGGCGTCTGCGGGAGGCTCCAGCATCTCTGGTTCTGCCACTTTCTGCAGGGGCTGGTTCCAGTCCCAGTTCAGTTTACACCTGTGTCGTCTGTCCTGAGTACTGCAGGTCAGAGGTGTGTCTGGGAGTGTGGACACATGTACAGAACTAGGGGTCCAGTGCTCTCCTCCCAGGGACTCCCCCACATGCTCCAGCTGGCTGGAGCCCCTTTTCCCAGCTCTGGATTTCTCTTCAAGTTGCAGCCATCTGCATCGCCACCCCACTGTGGTGCCCACTGACTGCCATTGCCCTTTGGGACAAAGGTTCAAAGAAAAGGGAAAAGATGGGTCACAGCCCACCTGCCAGTGTTTCCTTCTCAGTCCTCCAACACTTTTGCATTGAGCCCAGAGCTTTTACTTGTGATCCACAGGAGAGTTAGGCTGTTGTGGCCAGAACTGGCCTCAAACATGGTTATTTTAAACTCTGTGTCTGATAAACCCATGTTCTGGATCCCTTGTGGGCCTGTTTCTATTGGCTGTTATTTCTCTTGGCTTCTGATTACATTTTGTTTCCTCATGTGCCTTCCCCCACCCCACTACGTGCTGTTGTTGTTGTTGTTGTTATGTGCCGTGGATTCAGACCTGACTCATAGTGACCCCTCCTTGGATTTCTGAGGCAGTATCTCTACGGAAGTAGATTGCCCAACCTTCCTTCTGAGGAGTGGCTGGTGGGTTTGAACCGCCAGCCTTCTGGTTAGCAGTCAAGTGCCTTAGGCACTATGCTACCAGAGCTCAGGTGCTTTTATGTCTGACTTTGTGCTAATCAGGTAATGGGGTCCAGCAACCCCAGGCCATCCTAGACTGCAGTCTATACCAGCTCCATGCTACTCCATCCACTTTCAAGGACTAAGATGATTTGGGCTGGGCCTCAAAGGGCAGGGAGATCTAGTCCTGGCTCATCTTTACCCAGAGTGTAGTCCTTCAAGATCCCAGTCTAAGTGTAAGTGTATGAGCCCACTTCCTGTGATGGGCTCTGGCCTAAAATTTAACCACAAAACTGTACACATTCTGCTCAGCTTTTCAGTGCCCGCTCGAGTCAGCAGATGCTCCTGAGGGAAGAACCTTGCTCAAGCCTCTCAGCTTCCTTTTCTCTCGGAATCTGTCAGTGGGTTCTCATTGCCCTTAGAAGCCCACCCCCCCACAGTCTGTTGGGCCCTGGGGCCCACCTTGCCCTCATTCCCAGCACACAGCCCCTCAGCCAGCGTGCCCCTGGGCACCATCAAGGCTCCCACCTGTCTGCATCGCCACTCAAGCTCTGCACCCACCCACATCAGGAACACAGGGACCACGTTCACCTGGTCTTGCTGCATCCCCCTGACCTACAGAGGACAGCACTTTGCTGCCTATGGGTAGCGCTGCATCCTTGCTGCTGACTGGGTCTTACGGATGGCCTAGTGTGTTTTAAGAGCAGAAAAGGCTCTCCTCCCAGAGCACCCATCGCTCAGGGGCCGGGAATGCTCTGAACTGCTGACTGCAGAGCCCCTGGCCACTCGGCTGCCGTGCTGGCTTCCAAGCGTGTCCTGGGTTTTCTGCAGGTACCGGGGCTTCAGGGATGACGATGGACACTACTCCCGGACCTACTGGAACCTTCTGGCCATCCGCCTGGCCTTCGTCATTGTGTTTGAGGTACCTCGAGGCACCTTCTGCTTCTTCCAACACTGCCATCCGCACTGAGGCTGGGTCCTTTGGCCTTGGTGGGGCACTGTGGTCCCTGAGGAAAGGAGGGGGCCTTGGCACTTCTCCTTTTGTCACTCGGTCACGGATCCTCATTGTACCTCCTCTACCCCCTCCCTGTCCTGCCTGGGGTGTGGGTGTCAGAGACATCTGGGCTTCAGGGCGCTCTACAAACTCATAGGAGGGGTGTGGTCTCCTCCCGTGGCCCTGTCCCTTTGCACTGCACCTCTGCCTAGCTCACCCCTGGGGAGCAGAGGCTGGAGCTCACTGAGGCAGCTCCATGCAGGGATTGGGTTAAACGGGGGCGGGGCCAGTCCCACCACCTGCAGCTCTCTCCTGCCTCCAGCACGTGGTGTTCTCCATCAGCCGGTTCCTTGACCTCCTGGTGCCCGACATCCCCGAGTCTGTGCAGATCAGGGTGAAGCGCGAATACTACCTGGCCAAGCAGGCGCTGGCTGAGAATGAGGTGAGGGTTCCCAGCCCTCAGGCTTCCACTGTCTCTCTGCACCCCTCAGGAGGCTACGGGGGGCCCTGCAGCATGAGGATGGAGGAGGAAGGGGGAGATGCCCTTTGTGTTACATCTTGAGCCAAGAGTCCGCCTACCCACCCTCTTTGCCGCCTGCTCCTTCCTCAGGCTCTGTTTGGGACACACGATGCCAGTGACGACAGACCCCCAAGCTCAGAGGCACAGCTGAGCCCACAGGCCTAGGGTGCTGCCCCTGGCCCCTTCCCCTCTGGGGTCACAGGTTTCCGGCAGGGTCCCAGCTGTGGAGGATGATAAGCCTATGTATGGCAGGCTCGTCCCGGCCGGTCGGTCGGGCCCCGCCCTGGGCTCCATGCGCCTGGAGGTGGGCTCATGGGGGCTGCCTGACGAGGTCCGACTGAGCCTGTCAGAGCTGACTAGTCGTGGTCTGCCCTCCTGGCACTCCCTCGGGGCCTGGACCTCCCACAGCTCTGAGTCCCCCAGCCCTAGGGCTGCTCACGTGGCTCTGTGCATACCCATCTCAACAGCAAAGACCTCTGGGAGACTGAGGGACCAGCCTGAACGCAACCCACTTGTTCCGGTCTACGCCTCACCTTCTCCACCTGCCCCAGCACCCCTGCCTCACAGCACTCAGCCAGCAGAGCAGGTGCAGGCCGGCTTGGGACTTTGGTGCCTGGCAGCCCCTGCACCACCCCCAGCTCTGTGGCAAGGCCAGTGGGTTTGGGATCTCACCTCCCTCAGCCCTGGGCCTCTGACGCTGGGGACTGCAGGGCTGCTGCCCCTACCATCAGGCCACATTGTCCCTCTTTAGCACCCCCTTCAGGCCCGGACCCAGCTGTGTGCTGTGCTGAAGTGTACTCGCCCTGCCCCACAGCCACCCGTCCAGGTGCTCGCGGAGACAGGTCCTGTCCCCTTCCAGCCCCTCCCACTGCCCTGGGCCCCTCGTGCTCTCGTCACTGCCTCCTGGTCCTGGCACAGCGCCCACAGCCAGTGACCACCTAGTGGACTTGAGGCGAGTGGCCAGGAAGAGCATCGTGAACAATGCTGTAGTCCTCTTCAGACCTGGGCGCGCACTGCCTCCAAGTGGGCTCTCTCGCCAACCTCCACCTCCACCGGGAGCCGTGGCGCCCAGCCACCTGCTCCTCTGCACTGAGCCAGAATAAACACTCCCCACGTGGCTCTCCTTGTTTCTACCCATCTCCTTGGGCGAGTGTCTGGAAGTGGACCTCCACAGCACAAAGGTGGTTTCTGAGCAGCCTGTCCCCCCCATGCCTCAGTCCTCCCCACAGGTGGTCCAGACACCACCTGAGAAGCAGCCCCCCATGACGGTGGTGAGGGGGCTGCGCTTCGCCTCAGACCCGTGCATGCAGGCAGTCTCGACGTGGCCCCTCTCCAGGGAGATGGCCCCCGAGCACCACGTGTGCCTGCCAGGGTGATGTGGGGCCTTGGTGACCATGGGGATGCCATTCAGTACAGAGCAGGCGCCTGGCCAATGCCACAAACACCCACAGCCAGCTGACTTGCACTGGTGTCTTGGTGCTGATTAAGCATACGGCAGCCTGAGTGCCCCAAGGGTCTATCTGTGATTCTCACAAAGTGGACACAGGCCTGTGACGGGACCCCGATGGCTGGCATGGCACTCCCTCCGTCCACTCTGACGTGAGGCTGCCTGTGCTCACCCTCATGGCTGGATACTGTCCACTGGATGAAGGCCCCACAACTGCCCTGGTCCTGCCAGCATCCTATCTGCTGCCGGGACCCAATGTGCCCTCATGAGGCGGGACCTGAGGAAGGGAAGTGCTGGCTGGAGGAGGGCACGTGCCAGAGTTCAGGAGATACTGTCCCCAGCCCCCAGCAGGGGCACACAGGAACAGTCAGAATGGCAGAGATGCTCACCACAGGCTCTACCGTGTGCGCCCTGGGCCTCTCCTGGTCGGTCACCAAGAAGCTCCCCAGTGGAGCTGTGCCAAGGGCCTTCCAAGTCTCCCGGGGAGGCTGAGACATGGGCTTCCCATGGGGGCTCCCTGTCTCCACGGTGCTGTGGAGCCAGGTGGCAGGCAGTACCTGCACCATGATCCCACCTCATGTACCAACTGAGAGAAGTGTGCTGGAGTCGGGAGGGCCGGGTCGCCACCTGTGAGCCGCTGGGGCAGCATACCCTGGTCTCACGCACAGAGCACACGTGGGTGAGAAAACACGCTCTGGCACATGTGGACGGTTTCGGGTTTTATTTATTTATAAAATCCAGTGCTGTCCATTTACCGAGCCTTTACATGTTTGCACATAACCTCCAATTCCAAAGTTAAGGCCGAGGGATGGGTCACAGCCACGGCAACACAGTATAGGGAAGACATTCCACAAGGACCCTCCTACAACACCAGGGCCACAGGGATGGGGCCAGTCACTTCATACCTTCATTAACAAAAAGGATGTGTGAACCGGCAACACCCTTGGGGGCTCACACCTACGCCACTGGGTATGTGCAAAACCCATTGGGTATGTGCAAAGCTGGTTTGGGACCATGGGACTGTGAGGGAGGGAGGGCAGCAAGAAAAGGTGCAGGTAATGGTCTGGGTGGCACTAGGGGAGCCCAGAGCCAAGGAGGGAACAAGTTGTCCAGTAGCATGGGAGAGGTGCCCAGACAGACGGAGGGGATGGGCCCGGAGAGAAAGAAGATCCAGCACTTTCCTCTCCATTCCAGTCACCTGTGTCCAGTCAGGGCTCGTGTGGCTGATGGCCCGACTTCCACGCCCACAGACATGCACCGTGCCGCTGCTTGGGAACCCACCAAGGTGACTGGGGCCGGCCGCTGCTGATCTGGCTACTTGGGGTCTCAAGATAACCAAGTTTGAGTAACCACAGTGAAAACACTTGGGAGGGGCATGTCAAAGCAGCAGTGACTGTCTCCAGGGGAGCCATTTCTGGAGGACAAGTGTCACCTCTGGGGCGAGAAAGGATGGGGGAAGACCAGATGGCCTTCCTGGGTCCTCGCAACCAGACACGGGACATATCTGCACATCCTATGCCTCCTCTGGGGCAGGTTTGCCTGATGGGGCCCTGAACCCACCAAGGCCCCCCCACCTGCAGAACCCTGACTACTGCAGAACCTCAGCACCTTCTCCTACCCCACTTTGTCTCGTGCCCCCGACTGACAACCAGACCTGAAGCTTGATTCCAGGCTGGGCAGGCAGGCAGGCAGGTACCCAGCACCTTGCAGCCTCGAGCAGTCTCCACCGAGAGGGCCTGTGTGCTGGGCAGTCCTGAACTAACCTGAGACCCGTCACCCTGGCTGAGGTAGAAAGGCGGCAGTTGTGTGCATCACGTGTGGGGCAGGGGTTATACAGAGACTGAAGGTGGTTGAAAAAAGGTCAAGCGCCACCAAAAGGCCAGATGCAGAGAAAGGACTGCGTCCTACCTTCGGCCCCACAATGGCCACAGCGGAGCATGATGTGAGGGAAGCCACGTGGTCTGGGGAGGGGCTGAGTCCGAGTGAGGCGGCCGGTCGGCTCCACCCAGGCCACCACCCTCTCGCCTCTGTGGCCCTCCAGTGCCCACTGCCGCTGCACTCTGTTGGGCCAGGGAGCCCATGGCATCTGGCTGTCTGCGGCCCAGGGCTGGGCCTCTCCCCACCCTCACCTGCGCTAAGGGGCCAGAGGAAGCCGACTGCACTTGTCAAAGGGAATCTGGGCGACAGGGAAGGGGAGAGGGCAGGAAAGGAAGAGGGCAAACGTTTTGGCTTTTACAAAGTCGAGGAAATTTATTTCCTGAGGTCATGACACAGGAAGTCGACTCCCAGCCAGAGGCAGAGCTCTCAGGATGAAGGCCAGAGTGCTGACGGACATGCTGGGGGGCCGGGCAGCTCAGTCTGCCGATGGGATATGAACTGTTCGATTATCTTGTTTAGTGTTAAAACAGTAAGAGCCTGTCCCAGAGCAGAGGGGCCGGGCGGGTCCTGAGTGCAGGCCGCCGCGAGCTGGGCGCCCCCAGCCGCCCAGGCTGCCCTGCGAGACCTCGGACGGGGAGGGGCGTCGACAATTACCAAGGGTCCAGCCGCCGGTCGGATCGTGAGCCCGTGAGCGCAAGGCAGGCAGCAGCTGGAGGGGCTTCTGGTTCCTCATCATTATCGCTTGGGGCCCCATGGGAGGGTCTTGGGAGCCACCTGAGCCCCGAAGCTGGGGAACTCCTCAGAGCTGCTCATGTCTGGAGCCTGCAGAGACCAGAGCCCAGCTCAGAGGAAAAGCCCAGCCCTCCACCCACCCACTGGCCCCCAGATGGCTTCCTGCCCTTGCACGTGGTCCCCAGCACCCCGAGAGAGAGGAAATGCTCCACCTTCTCACTGCTGTTGGCTGTCCAGGGTGCATCACGCACAACGAAGCCCCTGGATGGGGCCTTTGATTCCTCAGGCGTCGGGGGCTTCATGTACACCTGCAGGGCCTCACTGTCCACAACGTCGGCCAGCTGCAGACAAGCGGGTTGTGTCCTCACCAAGAACCCACATGCTGTCCCCCGTCTGTCTCAGCCCTGATGCAGGTGTCTGACCTCCCTAGGCCCCCACCCCGGCCTCCTTGGGAGGGTGCTGCCTGACTAACGTATTCCTCCTCCAGGTTCAGGATGTGGTCAATGGCTTCCTCCACGTTCTCGGGAAGGCCTGTCACAGTGACACAGTTGGGGTCTGGGGCCCCACTCTGCGGGAAGCGGATGTCCACCTGAAAAGAGAGTGCAGTCAGCAGAGGTTGTGTGAGTCTGGGGGTGCTGGATAGACCATTTCCTTAGGCGTGGAAACCTGACCTCAGTGCTGTCTGCCCAGGACATCCTCTCCCTGGCAGAGCAAACACAACTAGGGCTCAGGGGGCCCCAGTGGCAGAAGACAGGGGACCTGTGTTTCTCGAGACTACAGGCTTCCTCCTCTCTGCATCTTCCCACAACACGCCCAGCACCTCAAAGGTGCAGACCAGCAGCCTGGTAAAGCCAGTAACGTGCCCCCCGGAACCCCATCCTCACCAGCCCACAGTGCAACACGGAGGCTTCCACTGCCCATCCCGCGGGCAGCACCGGGACAGTAGCACTCTCACCTGGTTGTCCCACTTTCTACTTGCTGGCCACCCTCCACCGAGCACCCCTCACAGTGGTGCACACCTTGAACTCGTCCATGACCTTACGGATGGCCTTGCCGCGGGCGCCAATGATGCGGGCGTGGACGCGGTGGTCCAGTGGGACATCCTCGGAGACCATCTGCTCAAGCTCGCCAACAATCTTCAGGATGGCGTCGCGGGCCGCCTCTGTGTTCTTCTCGTAGCCCGTGATGGTGATCTGCTCCTGGGGCTACAGAGGGGGCCATCAGGAACACTGAGGCCCAGGGTCCTAACTGCGAGCCAGTGACCAGCGTTGCATGCCAGTGAGGGGAGGGAAGGACCATCCTCCCTGAGCCAGAGACCGGTGTGCGTGCCCACGAGGAGCGGGAGGCACTGTCCTCTGTGAGCTGGTGACCAGCGTGCGTGCCCGCAGGGGTGGGAGGGACAATCGGCTCATGTCTCCAACAGCCTGCCCTGAGCACGGGGCACTTGGCGGTGCTGCAGGGGAACCACTGACTCGGAGGAGGAGGAGAGAAGACCACCAGGAGCAGCCTGATTGGAAAGTAACAGCAACGCTGTTGACTATCGTCCCTGCAGCAGACGGGAACTGCTCTAGAGCCAGTGGAAGGCAGGAGTGGAAGGCGAGGCAGAGGGTCTGGCTGGGGAGGGCTCCGTGCCCTCAGCCCCCTGGAGACAAGGGGCCACACACACCCATGGAAAGCCACTTGTGGCAAAGACACCTGCTCCCGAGAGCCCTCTCAACACACAGTGGACGAGGCAAGACTCCAGGCCGTGAAAATGAATTAACCAGACACTTCAGAATAGAAGATGACCGAAAAGAGAGGCAGCACCAGTTTATGCTCCCCAAGACAAGAGGAAACCGCGCACCCACAGGCACCAGGCAATGACCAGTGTTGGAGCCGGACACAGCAGAGTGTGAGCTGAGCAAGAGTGGTCTAGCACGTGTGCAGAGGCCAGGCCTGCCCAGAACACAGCACCCACTTGGCTCACAGGATGTTACTCAATACAGCCTAGATGCCAGATGACGACTCAGTGAGAAATAACGGCAGTACTGGGAGATTGGGACTGAAAGGACGAGGCCGGAGCATGGCTGCTCCAGGGGTGATGAAAGACATGCCGCCACAAAGCCTCCACTTGGGCAGAGGTGACATTGTACCAGGGAGAGCGTGCCAATTCTGGGGGCCAGCAGGTACAAACCCAGACTGAAGGTGCTCTCAGCCACCTGCGTCCCTTCCGTGTCCTCCCCTCTAGTGAGGTCACCAGTCCTGTGGTGGCAGAACCACCACCTGGCTCCCACTGACCCTGAGCCCCACTGGCGAGGTCAGAGATGAGCTGGAGGCCCG